GTCAAATCGTGCTGTCTTAAAATGTACAATACACTTTCATAAACCTGACGGTTATGAGTGAGTGAGTATGGTTTTACGCCGAGTTAAGCAATATTCCAGCAACATCACGTCGGCTGACACCAGAAATGGGCTTCACACCTGCGTTTGTGACCCATGTGGGGAATCGAACCCAGGCCTTCGATTTGACGAGCTAACACTTTAACCACGAGGCTACCCCGCCGCCCCGGTTATGTATATGTAAGGAGTTTAAGTGGTCACGAACACACCGAGCGCTGTTTCTTTACTCATATAGAGTGACGCATTACATACCGCATGGAATCTGAGACGCTGACCAACTAGATATGCTTTGTTGATTCAAGCCTAAAGGTGTGAGGACCTATGTGAAAAGGGACAGCGAATTTCCAACATAAACTCCCCGTAGTGTCGATTCAGTTCTCTTGGCGTATGTGACGACGACAATATACCAACCCACGTTTTCTCATTCGGCGATCTATTAACATACCACGACGCGTCCTCCGATCATTATCGTGTCAGTTGCTGCGAGGTTGTATTTAGATCGACACAGTTCGTTGCTTATACCGGATAAGTTGTGCTCCATGGGATGGGATGTGTGTTAACTGAAGAGGCGTTTCGAGAGACATAGTCAAATAGACGACACGTAGACGATAATTTGTCGCCGGTTACGATCTTAACATAAGCGTTACAACACAGATACCCTAACGTTCAAATGTTTCATTAAAATTCAATATCAAATCCAGTGTAGGCTATATAATATTTGGTTGCACATACAATTTACTATTACAATATCGAAAGTTAGCTCTACAGATGTTGATAGCCGCACACAATTATGAAGTCTTTCATTGTAGAAGTCGCAGTTAACATTCGGGTGGAACTTGACCTTGATAAGACGAGATGCCCGAATCCACCCTGGCGTCCCTGGAGCGACCCTGCCATGGGTAAATCACCCGTGAAGCCCAACTTTTACCATCTGGCCTAGACACAGGGCCTTGTAACGCTAAAAACTGCCATCAAGGTAACTGTCACTGACGGGGTCTTAGGACCTTTGATATGGTACTAAGACCCCTTCCATGACAGTATATACCTTGATGGCAGTTTTTAGCGTTACAAGCCCCTGAGTATAGTACAAAGACCCCGTCAGTGACAGTATATACCTTGATGGCAGTTTTTAGCGTTACAAGCCCCTGTGGGCCTAGATTCACAGGCCTGCCTAAATAAATCTCACATTCGGGGATGAAAACTTAAAAGACGACGAACATCTGAAGTGAGCGTGAGGTATGATATATTGATTGTGGACACTGTGACTCTTATTTTATACGGGTGGCAACGAGCAGTGCATTCCTCGCCGCTGTGCGCTGGTGTGAAAGAGTTACGGGCCCTGACATGCAATGCCATTCTCACTGGTTAAATTCATAATTGTACCATGTATCGTTGTCAGGAGCAACGCAAACAGCGTGAGCGTTAATTTGACTACTGGATCCTGATTCCGCCACTGAACGGGTGGCAGGTCGGTAGATATTGACCTGAAAGCCGTACAATCCTAGCAAATGACGGCGCAAGTACCTGGCCGTATTCCCACCATGTGTTTCTGACGCATATTGCTTCACAGACAGTTGAGCAGATTTCCGGATCAGCTTATTAGGTTATATACAGTTGATCTGGTCATTGTTTGAAATCTAAGTGTTGCCATAGTAACCTATGTACACACACGCTGTGATCCACCGGATCCACGGTCGATGACATGGGAAAGAGGTGAATTTGGAAAAAAGTGATTTTCAGTTGTAATATCAGTTTTGGTGGAATCTGTTATGGCGTATTATCGAGATTAGTTATTCACTGGTTTTGACGTTTTATATGTATCATCAACCAAAGTGGAATATGAAATGAAAACTGCAAACCGATCTGGTTATGTTAACAGTTCATGTTAATGTTGCTCTAATACACCACAGCTTATACAGAGGATGAGTGGCACCGTGCCTGACGTCAGAATACACTACTCTAGGAGTCAGGTACTGTGTGTATTCTTCACTGCCTCCTGACCTATCTGTGTACTCAGAATAAAACACGTGACAACATTAGCGTCAGGTGCAAATGCATTGAAAACACATGCTCGTCAACACTACCTGGAGTCAGTTTGTCAGTCAGTCATACAGTCACGATCAGTTTTAGAATTTCCGTTACATTACACAAGTGAGTGAGTGAGTATGGTTTTACGCCGCGCTTGGCAATATTCAAGCAAAATCACGACCGGGGACACCAGAAATTGGCTTCACACATTGTACCCATATGGGGAATGGAACCAGGGTCTTCAGCTTGATGAACGGACGCTTTAACCATTAGGCTACCCCACTGCCCCTACATCCCCTACGTGTATATAAGCAAGTAGCGTGAAAGGAAAGATGTACAATATTAAATATGAGATATTCACATGATATTCATTATCCCACTTGAGGGCTGCGTCTCTGTAAAGTAACACCGTTCCGCCTACAGCTGTTCGAAAACTGAAAAAAAAATCAAATTGGATCTTAGTCAATATTTTCTGTAATTCTAGAAGCGTCAGCTGGGATTTATTTTATATGTAAGCTTTGATGGTATTTTTCTGATTTTTCATGTACGTATAAACGTCCAAATCGCCTATCTAAACGAGTGATTATGTTAGAACTCGGCTGTCACAATATGTCAGTTGGTTCAACCCTCTCTACTAAACTGTAAATCGTGAGGATGTGTGTGGCCTGCTTCTAACAGTCACTTTCTGTCATCCCTAATTGTGAATAATTTACCGCTGTTCTAAATATCGCGCACGTGTTTAATTTCATGTCCAAGGTCAATTCGTGTGTCCAAGCAACGAGGTAATATTGATAACGTATGGTCAACGTTATTTTATAAATTCTACGGGTGCAAAGATTGTGAAAAAAGGAAAGTAGAAACAGATATAATTCTCAGTTTAAAGGTTTTTTTACCGCCAAGGAAGAAGACCATTTTCAACAAAACGATACGTCACAAATTGTTTCCATGTATGTCCCAACGCTAGATATTAAATTCACTACGGTATTAAATTTATAAAATAATTTAGAATCATGTCCATCACATGACAACATGTTTGCACCAGATATTTAAAATTGATTTGTTTTCTTTTCCTTTGCTACCGCCGATCTTACAGGAGTCCCTTTATGACACAAGTACACAGGAGCTAGGATATGGAGCTGGCCGAGCAGGGATTATTGAGGGAGAGGGCCCAACATCCTTTCAGCGCATCATGACACGCTAAAGGGACGCAACGCTTCACGCATGACTCTGCAACCTGTATCTGATGTTAGAGACGCACTCCAATAAGCACATTAAAGGAAGTGACGTCTTCATCAACAAACTGAATACAGAAAATGATTCCAACCACCAGAGTAACAAAGAACTCACTCGTGTGTGGCCTACCATGCGGGTTAGGAGCTCTCCTGTCAACAAAGAACTCACTCGTGTGTGGCCTACCATGCGGGTTAGGAGCTCTCCTGTCAACAAAGAACTCACTCGTGTGTGGCCTACCATGCGGGTTAGGAGCTCTCCTGTCAACAAAGAACTCACTCGTGTGTGCCCTACCATGCGGGTTAGGAGCTCTCCTGTCAACAAAGAACTCACTCGTGTGTGGCCTACCATGCGGGTTAGGAGCTCTCCTGTCAACAAAGAACTCACTCGTGTGTGGCCTACCATGCGGGTTAGGAGCTCTCCTGTCAACAAAGAACTCACTCGTGTGTGGCCTACCATGCGGGTTAGGAGCTCTCCTGTCAACAAACCATGTCAACTAAGAGCTCACTCGTGTGTGGCCTACCATGCGGGTTAAGAGCTCTCCTGTCAACAAAGAACTCACTCGTGTGTGGCCTACCATGCGGGTTAGGAACTCTCCATCACATCACAGTACGTGTGTGTCAGTGTGACGCCGCTCTAAAGAGTCGTACCATGAGGTCTATACGACTTGCCATATTGTCAGCTGTATCTGGAAATAAGACCAGGTTCTGTTCACGCTCGAAGTGCGTGTTTCGATCCACCTTGTTGCAGCGCCTTGGGTCTCCCACCGCGCCCCCATAGCATGATAAAAAAAACCTACAACCAAAATGCCCTGATGAAGGTTTAGACATACTTCCTTCATCTCACTTTCTGAGCGCTGCTATACATCACTGTTGTCTACTAAAGAGATAATTATAGATTTTCCTAATCTGCTGTCGCTTATCTCTTAGTCACGTCAATGGAAAAATAGAGCGTTCATTATTAGTCGCATAAACAAATACTGTCTGTATACTGTCGCAGATAAGTACAAGGCAACCTTCACATGTACAAGCACAGGTGTTTCATGTAAACTAAGGCTGCTGTTAGGGGTGAAAACATTCCCATGCACATCATAAACATACTGAACATAAAACTTTGTTGGGAACGGTTAATGTGAGGTGGGATTTAAATAATTACATTACAGAAAAACGGGACGCGTTTATGAAATATGTCTTGTTTCCCAACCCCATATCCTCTTCAGCCTGTCCCCACACACTCGGCTATGAAGAGTGACACCGATGTCACAAGCGCAACAGGGGCGGATCCACGATTTTGGAGCAGGGGGTGTTGGGTGCACATAAATCCACAGGTTAGGGGGAAATGCTCCTCAGGGAATTTTGTTTTCGGGGGAGCGTGTGGGACGGTGAGAGCACCCCCAACCCCTTTGGATCCGTCCCTGACGAACCACATTAATAACTTTGTCAGATCACAACACTACATAGCGTTCTGAAACTGACATATACACCCGTTCTACAGGTGTCTCGTTAAATATACAAACACAGCCGCACGAATCAGAAGAGTAACGATGCAAACTTTGCATCATCTTCCCCATCAACCAGCATCCTTGCAGTCATGCTCGACTGTCTTCATTCATGATTCAGACAGCTAATTAGTTCTGCCTGTGATGTGATAAGTATATAAATAGGATCGTGAAACTTGCTACTTACTTGCAAAATTATATCTGTTCTCCCAACGCTAGGCCTAGTTATCCATGATAGAAAGCGAGTGCATGTAGCCCTTCACATGATAGGAACAACGTCTGCTGTGAAACAACAGCCGTGAGGATACTCACACCCTTTACCGTAAGCACAGGATGGTAACCACAGCCTGTAGAATCAACTTTAACCTCCAAATCTAAAACACTTCCTCTCCGGTTGCAGTCGTAATGTTCCGTCGGCCTCGATTTGACGAGACGGCAGCACCGAGGATAATCGTGCACGTCGGGCCAACTCTCACTGAAGCCGTGGACGAAGTCATGCCAGGATAAGCATGGCCCGTCACCGTGGGAGCAGTGATACAGCCAGTGTCTTTTGACAATGAGAACTGGTTTTACTTGAATCTTCTACACTGAGCGTCGAGTGCAGCAACTAAGACTATGCTGTCAAGATCCGTGTGCTAAATTGTTTGCTGTGTATGATAGGTTGTGGTTAGTTGTAGTTATATTTATATATAGTTTCCGAGGATTTGTGCGGCATGGTGTGACGACTGTTAAGTGGTGACACAGGCAATGTGGGTTAAGTGTGTACAGTGACATCTGCCTTATCCGGACACCGGTAATCTGGAAATCGCATCTTTTACACGCTTTAAGAAAAATGAAAATGGAAAATGTTACTGTTTTAATTCCTCATTTATCCGAATATCGACGGGATCACGATCGCTATACTTTGTTTTTCAACAAGTTAAATATTATCTTTTCACATATCACAGATTCACAATACGGGAAGATGTTAGTTTACGTCACGGCTCTGAGGAAGAGAACTGGCATTGGAACCTAATCGCGTGACATGTACGTAAGGCTGAACACGGCAAGTACCTGGTCTGATCAATACAATACCGATCCACACCTTGTTGTCGTAACACTGAGTTTCACGTGACACATCACAGCTTGAGTAAAGCTGATATTTGTGCCATACAGAGTTACTTCCCTTTAACAAGTCAGCCCAAATTATGTATCCATCTGTCCGTGATACTTTTAGTTGAATCTGAACATGAAGAGTGCTGACAGGTTTCCAATGCCTTTATCTCACTTTATCTATATTTAGGTAATTTATTTCAGATTTAATGTCATTGAAAATACAGCTCCCTGTACATAATCCCTGTTCCTTGTTGTGAATGCTGGCAAAAGGTTTCCTTAATTCGATCCAATTGACGCAATCGGCTTTTGAATTTGAAAGTCCGTCCCAACAACCACCCAACGATAATGAGTTGATGGAGGTAGACGTTTATCGGCAGATTTGATCTTAAAATTATTTTCAGTGGGCTGTTTGTTTTCAAAACACAAGGAGGATATAATTATTTTCAAACACGATAAATTCTTAAAGAAAATTGACTTATCGAGTATGTTTCGTAGTTTATGCGTAAGGTTCAGCTAGACAGAGTAAAACAACGAATATCGACGTGGAGACATTACAGCTAGTACCCCTGGTTCGCCTCATCGTCACAGACTCGGACACGCTTTACTCAACCCACACAGCCAATGGAACAAACAAACGAACGAATAAATAAATGACATTGCGGCGATTGTCCAGAAACTTCATCAACACATTGCAGACAAATGTAATTGATAACAGAGATAATGCTTCCTTCCGTTTGTAAATATGGTTCGTTAATGTCAAATTCTAAACACATATGTATGTAAGCAGTTGTTCGGGGGTTAGACCAGAGACCATATAATAGAGGCTGTAACAGAGGGTCTATTATGTGGTCTCTGGTTAGACAGGTTAGAAATTAGATATCGCGTGCTTGAAGCCTCGTTTTCATGCCAGCTTCCTCAACTGTCGTGGTATTTACAATAGTGATCCCTATTGATTATTAACTTGACATCTTCAAAGTGTTACCTCTGACATGTTAAGTCTGGAACTGAGCATTGATTATCCATGATATGGCTTTGAATTCCACTTACAGACAGTGTAATCAGCTGTCATCGGCACAATATAATGTATGTGAGTGATGGTGTTCCCTATCTCCACACTGTAGAGAGTTATCACAACGCAATGGAAAGCATGGGGTTTTCACAGCTTTGTGATATATTCTTCTTCTATTGAGTGAGCAAATGTTCATAGTCGCTGACATAATTGAGCTACATCACATCTCGACAATAATCGCAATCATATCTTACTCAATGTTAATCTTTTTATCTCATTATATTTTAGAAGGTTAACGAGGATATCTAATCGAACAAGCAATTGAGCACTGTCGCCAGATACTCATTTTGATCGACCCATACAAGCATAACCAACAAGAGACTGAACAGGATCCCACATCGACCTTCCAGCTGGACTACACAGGGCGGCATACGCCTCATCTGAAGAATCGAACCCAGGTTTTTAGCGTGGCAACAAAACCATTTGGCTACCCATATCACCCTATATCGGAAATACGAGCAATGGGTCACAATAATGTATTGGCAGTGAATAGCGCTGCTATTTTCGCTGGCGCTGATTGTAGCTGTCTCCCTAGCGTGTAGAAAGTGTAACAGACTTTGTAGCGTTTAAAAAGTGTAGCAGTCTCTCCAGCGTGTACAAAGTATAGCAATCTCTCTAGCGTGTAGAAAGTGTTGCAGTCTCTCTAGCGTATACAAAGTATAGCAGTCTCTCTAGCGTGTAGAAAGTGTAGCAGTCTCTCTAGCGTGTAGAAAGTGTTGCAGTCTCTCTAGCGTGTAGAAAGTGTAGCAGTCTCTCTAGCGTGTAGAAAGTGTAGCAGTCTCTCTAGCGTGTAGAAAGTGTAGCAGACTCTCTAGCGTGTAGAAAGTGTAGGGTCTCTAGCGTGTAGAAAGTGTAGCAGTCATTCTAGCGTGTAGAAAGTGTAGCAGTCTCTCTAGCGTGTAGAAAGTGTAGCAGTCTCTCTAGCGTGTAGAAAGTGTTGCAGTCTCTCTAGCGTGTAGAAAGTGTTGCAGTCTCTCTAGCGTATACAAAGTATAGCAGTCTCTCTAGCGTATACAAAGTATAGCAGTCTCTCTAGCGTGTAGAAAGTGTTGCAGTCTCTCTAGCGTGTAGAAAGTTTTGCAGTCTCTCTAGCGTATACAAAGTATAGCAGTCTCTCTAGCGTGTAGAAAGCAGTCTCTAGCGTGTAGAAAGTGTAGCAGTCTCTCTAGCGTGTAGAAAGTGTAGCAGTCTCTCTAGCGTGTAGAAAGTGTAGCTGTCTCCCTAGCGTGTAGAAAGTGTAACAGACTTTGTAGCGTTTAAAAAGTGTAGCAGTCTCTCCAGCGTATACAAAGTATAGCAGTCTCTCTAGCGTGTAGAAAGTGTTGCAGTCTCTCTAGCGTATACAAAGTGTAGCAGTCTCTCTAGCGTGTAGAAAGTGTAGCAGTCTCTCTAGCGTGTAGAAAGTGTTGCAGTCTCTAGCGTGTAGAAAGTGTAGCAGTCTCTCTAGCGTGTAGAAAGTGTAGCAGTCTCTAGCGTGTAGAAAGTGTAGCAGTCTCTCTAGCATGTAGAAAGTGTAGCAGTCTCTCTAGCGTGTAGAAAGTGTAGCAGTCTCTAGCGTGTAGAAAGTGTAGCAGTCTCTCTAGCGTGTAGAAAGTGTAGCAGTCTCTCTAGCGTGTAGAAAGTGTAGCAGTCTCTCTAGCGTGTAGAAAGTGTAGCAGTCTCTCTAGCATGTAGAAAGTGTAGCAGTCTCTCTAGCGTGTAGAAAGTGTAGCAGTCTCTCTAGCGTGTAGAAAGTGTTGCAGTCTCTCTAGCGTGTAGAAAGTGTAGCAGTCTCTCTAGCGTGTACAAAGTATAGCAGTCTCTCTAGCGTATACAAAGTATAGCAGTCTCTCTAGCGTGTACAAAGTGTAGCAGTCTCTCTAGCGTGTAGAAAGTGTAGCAGTCTCTCTAGCGTGTAGAAAGTGTAGCAGTCTCTCTAGCGTGTAGAAAGTGTAGCAGTCTCTCTAGCGTGTAGAAAGTGTAGCAGTCTCTCTAGCGTGTAGAAAGTGTAGCAGTCTCTCTAGCGTGTGTAGAAAGTGTAGCAGTCTCTCTAGCGTGTAGAAAGTGTAGCAGTCTCTCTAGCGTGTAGAAAGTGTAGCAGTCTCTCTAGCGTGTAGAAAGTGTAGCAGTCTCTCTAGCAGCTAGCGTGTAGAAAGTGTAGCAGTCTCTCTAGCGTGTAGAAAGTGTAGCAGTCTCTCTAGCGTGTAGAAAGTGTAGCAGTCTCTCTAGCGTGTAGAAAGTGTAGCAGTCTCTCTAGCGTGTAGAAAGTGTAGCAGTCTCTCTAGCGTGTAGAAAGTGTAGCAGTCTCTCTAGCGTGTAGAAAGTGTAGCAGTCTCTCTAGCGTGTAGAAAGTGTTGCAGTCTCTCTAGCGTGTAGAAAGTGTAGCAGTCTCTCTAGCGTGTAGAAAGTGTAGCAGTCTCTCTAGCGTGTAGAAAGTGTAGCAGTCTCTCTAGCGTGTAGAAAGTGTAGCAGTCTCTCTAGCGTGTAGAAAGTGTAGCAGTCTCTCTAGCGTGTAGAAAGTAGCAGTCTCTCTAGCGTGTAGAAAGTGTAGCAGTCTCTCTAGCGTGTAGAAAGTGTAGCAGTCTCTCTAGCGTGTAGAAAGTTGTAGCAGTCTCTCTAGCGTGTAGAAAGTGTAGCAGTCTCTCTAGCGTGTAGAAAGTGTAGCAGTCTCTCTAGCGTGTAGAAAGTGTAGCAGTCTCTCTAGCGTGTAGAAAGTGTAGCAGTCTCTCTAGCGTGTAGAAAGTGTAGCAGTCTCTCTAGCGTGTAGAAAGTGTAGCAGTCTCTCTAGCGTGTAGAAAGTGTAGCAGTCTCTCTAGATGTAGAAAGTGTAGCAGTCTCTCTAGCGTGTAGAAAGTGTAGCAGTCTCTCTAGCGTGTAGAAAGTGTAGATGTAGCAGTCTCTCTAGCGTGTAGAAAGTGTAGCAGTCTCTCTAGCGTGTAGAAAGTGTAGCAGTCTCTCTAGCGTGTAGAAAGTGTAGCAGTCTCTCTAGCGTGTAGAAAGTGTAGCAGTCTCTAGCGTGTAGAAAGTGTAGCAGTCTCTCTAGCGTGTAGAAAGTGTAGCAGTCTCTCTAGCGTGTACAAAGTATAGCAGTCTCTCTAGCGTGTAGAAAGTGTAGCAGTCTCTCTAGCGTATACAAAGTATAGCAGTCTCTCTAGCGTGTAGAAAGTGTAGCAGTCTCTCTAGCGTGTAGAAAGTGTAGCAGTCTCTCTAGCGTGTACAAAGTGTAGCAGTCTCTCTGGCTAGCGTGTAGCAAAGTATAGCAGTCTCTCTAGCATGTAGAAAGTGTAGCAGTCTCTCTAGCGTGTAGAAAATAGCAGTCTCTCTCTAGCGATCTCTCTGTCTCTCTAGTCTCTCTAGCGTGTAGAAAGTGTAGCAGTCTCTCTAGCGTGTAGAAAGTGTAGCAGTCTCTCTCTAGCGTGTAGAAAGTGTAGCAGTCTCTCTAGCGTGTAGAAAGTGTAGCAGTCTCTCTAGC